TCTTTTTTCTTCCTCCACTGACTCCACCTCTTTTTGCTTTTGAACGAATTGGTTATAACCCAGCTTGGAATCAGTCATAAGAGGATTTATGATTCTAAAGGTTTTGTAATGAGAAACAGAATACCTGATTTTGAGGATTATCCATGCCTTTCTATTCTTCTTCTTCTCTGCTCATTGGTCATTTATTATACATTAGCACACCAGAGGGGAGGCAGAAAAACAGAGAGGACACAGTAGCTTTCTCATGAAATCTTACTTTGTTCACCAAAGTCTACACGTAAAGGAATAATTGTGGTAAATCAAGTAAGTTGGGTTATATTTTAAGAAATGAAACAATGTGGCCAGACTACTGGGCAATCATCTGAAAATCTTCAAGTGGGGCAGAAATGTAGCAACTGAAACTCAGTGTAACCAAGGAAACTGTGAAAAAATAAATTCACATTTTACATTTAAAATACGAGACCAGAAAATGATCCTAGAAATCCCTACCGATTATTTGCCAAAGACATCCCCAGTTTCCTGTTATAGGTAAAAGGCCTGTTTGATTTAAGCATCAACAGTAAAGAAAACATAATAGGAGTCATTATCCTACTCATGAAGAAAGCTGTGAAATCACTGCCTGTAAAATTCTTTACTCTAGTTCTGTTTGCTCCAACATCAGAAAGACATAATGAAACTAGAAAAAGGCCAGAGAAACTTGGAGCCAACCCAAATGCCCATCAATGATAGACTGAATAAAGAAACTGGCACATATACACCATGGAATACTATGCAGCCATAAAAAAGAATGAGTTCATGTCCTTTGCAGGGACATGGTTGAAGCTGGAAACCATCATTCTCAGCAAACTAACAGAGGAACGGAAAACCAAACACCGCATGTTCTCATAAGTGGGAGTTGAACAATGAGAACACACAGACACAGGGAGGGGAACATCACACACTAAGGCCTGTTGGGGAATGGGGGGCAAGGGGAAGGAGAGCATTAGGACAAATACCTAATGCATGCAGGGTTTAAAACCTAGATGACAGGTTGATGGGTGCAGCAAACCACCATGGCACATGTATACCTATGTAACAAAACTGCACATTTTGCACGTGTATCCCAGAATTTAAAGTACAATTTAATAAATAAAATAAAATAAAATAATAAAATAAAAGGGACAGAGAAAAGAAGTCAAATTTGCAGGTGAGAGGAAGACTAGAAACATCAAAATTCTTAGAAAAAAGTCATGGATTCTTAGAATTGGAATTATCCTGAGACATTCTGTATACCATTTCCTTGTGCTTTCAGAATATTCCTGATAAATCCTAAATAGTTTAGTTATCAAAGGCCTAATTGTACACTGGAGACTGACTAGAATCCTCCCCTGATTTGCAGCCTACCTCCAATCTGTTACCTCAAATATCTTCAAAATATATCCACTTCTCTTTATCTCCACTGGTCTAAATCATCTTTCTCATTCATACAGACTACTGCAGTAGCATTCTCATTGGTTATCCTCTTCTACTTCAGGTCTTCAAAGCCATGTTCTAACTTCCCAATCCATTGCAACAAGAGTGATCTTAAACCTCAAATTAAATAATGACATTGGCTTAATTAGCATACCTTTAGCGATTGTTCATTGACCTTAGGTTCAAGTGCAGAGTAATAAACATGGTCCTAAATGATTGGCTCCTGCCTCCTTCACTAGGATCATCTCACATACCTTCACCCTTTGTTCATCAAAGTTTATCCATACCAACTTTATTTCAGTTCCTCAAAACAGCAGCTACCATCACACATAACAATAACCTCCACCACAACAGCTAACATTTATCAAGTTTTTAACTACATGACTGGCATTGTATCATGTTTAATCCTCATAAGAAAATCTATAAGGTAGTTATTTTCATCATTTTATTGCTGAGAAAAAAACAAATATTTAGAAACATTTAGTAATTTCTCCATAGCAAGGTAGGTGGCAAAGGTGGAAACAATGTTATATTGCATATTCCAGGGAAATTTTTTCCCCACCCCTTCCCTGGCTAGCTCATATCATTCTTTATGATTACTACTCATATGTCATTTCCTCAAAACAGCCTTCTCTCATCTACTGATCTAAAATTGGCACCCTTGTCATAGTCCCTTGTACTTTTTCTTTATAGAATGTATCACAGTTTACATATTTCTTTATGTGACTATTTAATATCTGTCAAACCTCCAATAGACTGTAAGTTCCATGAAGGTAGGAACTATATGTTTAAAAATGTGCCTGGTGTAATCAATAAATATCTGCCTAATAAATGACTGAAAAAAGACATCAAACCTTCTAATAATAAGATGTTGGATCATTCTATGGAAAAGCCTATTTGAATGTTAAAAATTCTATTAAAATATTCTTGCCTACGTTAAACCAAAAGCTGTTCCCTTATAATGTCTATCTACTGATCCTAATATTGGTCTCTTGGCCAACAGTGAAAAAGAACATTTTTTTTCTTTACAGCTCTTCGGATACTTTCAGCCTAGACAGTTTAAGACAGAGAAGACTGGTAATTATGGTTAGATAATTCCAGATTTACTTCTAAACATCTGAATGCTAGAATGTGGAAGATGAGAGGGCATCTTTTGAAATTAGAGACTCATCTGGGGCACATTTATGGAAATTAATTCTTTGTATACTATAAATAATTGCAAGAGGTAGACATGAAATATAGGTAGAACTGCTGTGCTTGGCACACTCTATCACAAGTTGAATTCTAATTAGTATAAATCTAGAAACAAACAAACCTGGAGAAGGGCCAGTTAAAAGCAATTAATGACTACACAAAAAGATTGAGCAAAGTAAAAATCAGCTACTATAATTACAAGATAGATGTCATGAAGTACAACTGTACCTTCTCCTATCTCTCAAGAATTTTCCTGGCAACAGAGCTCTGGATTAGATGAACTATATTTCTAAGATTTGGAAATTAGAAAGGCAAAATGAAAGCCAGAATTACTGAGAAACAAAAATATTCTTCAGACATTTTATATATTTGAATTAACCTGATATAGTCAGTAATTTTTTAAAGAAGGCTTCATGTGCCCTCCTTAACAAGAAAGATAGAATCTCGAAGTTGGAAAGGTCTTTTTGTCTAATAACTTATCACATGCTTAAAGACTCTCTACAACATTTATATGAGATAGCTATCGAACCAATATTAAAACATCCAAGCATGGCATAAAGCAGAGATTTGGATTTTGAGTTAGGAGCTCTGGGTTTAAACCTCAATTCAGTAATTTATTAGCTATATAACTTTGAACTGGTTACTCAATGTGCGCCAGATTCCTAATTTTAAAAACCAGAATAACAAAATATATCTTTTAAAGCTGTTTGAGAATTAAATTAAATACCATAATATGAAATGTCACTTAGCATTATACCTAGTACATCGCAAATGTTCCATAAATGTTATTTTCCCTCCAGTGACAAAAATCTACTACCTGCCAAGATAGTCCATGTCCTCTTTGGAAAGTACCAGCAGTGGGTTCTTATACTGTGTGGAATTAGTCCAAAACTATTAGGTAAATGACACTTAAAAGTTTAATATGTAAGATATTATTTTAAGAAAATATGTTCTTCATTAGTATTTTAACTTTGGATACTAACTTTATATATATTTCTTAAGCAATTTGTCACTCAGAAAAGGCAGAATTTGAGTAACCTTACAGAAATATAAGTTACAATCATATCTGACTAGAAGCCTTTAATAATCTAATTCATATAAATACTTCCTTGAAACTTTCCCAGAAAAAACAAGAACAAAAAGTTCTCCTTCTAGTGACTCAGGGTTAATTAAGTATGGCAATGATCTTTTAAGACTACACAGATACTCTTCCTATTTTTATTAACAATTAATAACAAAAAATCAGTATCAGAAATGTTTTGTTGTTTTGTCATAAGACCAAGATTTATAATTGTTTAATTATTTAATCCTATAAAACAACCATATAGAAAAAAAATGTTTTAAGTCATAAGAAATAATTATCTATTTTGTGACAATTAATTTAGCACACTCTGTAAATAAATTCACTTTCCTGGTGTTAATTTAATGTTCCACTTTATATATGCTACGTAAGTTCATTTGTTAGAGAATATTTTGGCTAGCTTTCTTCACTGTAAAAAATAAAATTACTTCTAACAAATCTGATTCAAATACAACATGAAGCCTGTTCTTCCACAATAATATTAATTCGAACAATTCAATCTTTATTTGAGGAACACAATTATACTTTCCAACTCAATACGTCTTAGTTTACCTCAACTTTTCAAACCTAAAGAAAAATTATCTTCAAGCTATTAAATTATTATATAATTTAATAAGTTTTTTAATAATGAAAAATGGCTGAGCACTGTGGCTCACACCTGTAATCCCAGCACTTTGGGAAGCTGAGGCAGGTGGATTACTTGAGGTCAGGAGTTCGAGATTAGCCTGGTCAACATGGGGAAACGCCGTCTCTACCAAAAATACAAAAATTAGCCGGGTGTATTGTGGCGCACACCTGTAACTCCAGCTATCCCAGAAGGCTGAGGCAGGAGAATCGCTTGAACCTGGGAGGCAGAGGTTGCAGTGAGCCGAGATCGTGCCACTGCACTCTAGCCTGGGCGACAGAGCAAGACTCCATCTCAAATAATAATAATAATAATAATAAATATAATTAATGAAAAATTGTAAGGTCAAATTTAGATTGAAGCTATCAGAATAATATTGAAAACCAAATATTAGAAACAATGTTTCTGAGGTCACAAATATAGTTTATATTGGATGAAAACATCATCAATTGTGTTTTCTCTCATTTCTCTCTTGTACATTAGGTTTTATTTGTCAGTAGAAACATCACAAGTAAGTTTAAATTTGTAGTAGATAAGAATTACTCTAATTCTGAGTAACTTGATTATAGCGAACATAATCATGGCTAATATGATTCCTAAAAATGCTTACAGTTGATTAAAAAAAATAAAACCATAAAATAAGCTTACTGTTTCACCAATTTTCCCAATATTTCCTTGATCTCCTACTTCTCCCTGTCAAAAAAGAATATAAAGTTGCAAAAACAGTTATTTTTCAAGCTAGATTATTCATGACAGTTTCAACTTTCATTTTTAATGCAATTATCTAGTCATAACCTAGAAAAAGGCAAAGGAAATTTCAGTTACTTAAAACTTTGTTATAGGTGCAGCAAACCACCATGGCACACGTTTACCTATATAACAAACCTACATATCCTGCACATGTACCCCAGAACTTAAAATAAAAATTTTTTAAAACTTATGTTAGAGTATTTCTATGAAATGTGGCCTACCCTCTATTTTCATTCAAATAGTAATGTATCAGTCTGTTCTTACACTGCTATAAAGAACTACCTGAGACTGGGTAGTTTATGAAGAAAAGAGGTTTAATTAACTCACAGTTCCACGGTTTAACACCAAGCATGACTGCGAGGCCTCATGGTGGAAGGTAAAGGTGAAGCAAGCACAACTTCACATGTTGGAGCAGGAGAGAGTGAGAGCAAAGGGGGAAGTGCCACACACGTTTAAGCCATCAGATCTCGTGAGAACTCACTCACTATCACAAGAACAGCAAAACGGAAATCCGCCCCAATGAGCCAATCGCTTCCCACTAGGTCCCTCCTCCAATTTGACATGAGAGTTAGGCAGGGACACAAATCCAAACCATATCAGGTAATAATCTATTTTCTTAAAAAATATTCTCCTATTCGTGACTTTTAATCACTTTTATAAATAAAATTTTTAAAAATAAAATCTTTATTGAGGTGTGCTCTGTAAAAGGCAGAGTAGTAAGCACGGTGAAAGGTATTAAGAAGAATGAAATTAAAGTCTTTCCCACAGGGATATTCTATTTGCTCAAATAGAACAATACATGGGACAGGTTAAGTACTCTAGGAGCAGGCACCCTGTGAACTGGAACAGCTAGAGCTAGCATCACTGGAGAAGTAACGCATGTTCATAACCTCTGAAACAAAATTTTGCAGTCCATAATGCTCTGAAAACTCAGAGTTTTTCACAACTCATTTGGTGGCAAACTTGACCTAACTTGGATTGATTTGGCAGTAAAGCTTATTTTGTTCTGAGTAAGGCCATTTATAGTCTTGATGTATTCCAATTAATCTGAACATCCTTACATTTCACTACAGAAATATTAATATATCTAATTATGGTAGGCTGTTGCACACCCTTCTGGTAGTGGTAAATAAAATATACTATATGCGACATGTTACTTTTCAAAAATCCAAACATTAATGATTTCAAATAATGGATTATGAAACTGTAAGCGGGGCCCTGAAAAATATGGGATACTTAACACTGGTAATGAGGAAGGGCCATTTTTGGTGGTGAGGAATGGCATCAGCAAAGGTATAGATTAACAAAAGGTAAAAGATTAAGTTCAAAGTACCACAGAGACACACTCTAATAGCAATATACATTTTGTGTACAGAAACAGATTAAATATGTTATGTCTAAAATTAATCAATTACTGTCTAAACATTAATAATTATATTCCAGTGTAGAACAGTAAGATGTTAAGATACTGAACAATATTGTAGCCAATAATGATGTGTGGCTACTGAATATTTGAAATAGGCTGGTCTCAATTGAATTGTGATATAAGTATAAAAAAATGCATCAGATTTCAAAGGCTTTCTACAAAACAAGAATATAAAACATCTCATTAATAATTTCAATATTGATTACATGTTTAAAGGATATAATATTTTGATATCTTGAGTTAAATAAAATGTACTATTAAATTAATTTTACTTCTTTCTTTTCACTATTTATTTATTTATTTATTTATTTTATTTTTTTTTTTGAGACGGAGTCTCGCTCTGTCACCCAGGCTGGAGTGCAGTGGCCAGATCTCGGCTCACTGCAAGCTCCGCCTCCCGAGTTTATGCCATTCTTCTGCCTCAGCCTTCCAAGTAGCTGGGACTACAGGTGCCCGCCACCTCGTCCGGCTAGTTTTTTTGTATTTTTTTAGTAGAGACGGGGTTTCACTGTGTTAGCCAGGATGGTCTCGATCTCCTGACCTCGTGATCCGCCCGTCTCAGCCTCATAAAGTGCTGGGATTACAGGCTTGAGCCACCGCGCCCGGCCTCTTTTCACTATTTAATGTGGCTCATATCTGTGGTTCATATTGCATTTCTATTCGATAGTGGTGATTTTAAGCACTGAAACTTAATATTCATCATGAGTGATCACTGAAATAAACTTTCAAAGTCTACACAAGTTTTCTTTTCAGTTTCTGTATGTATTTAGATAAATAGTAAAGAGTGAAGCACTGCAGTAGGTTTTAGTAACTAACTTTAACAGGCAGCTCATTAGACAGCATTTATGGAAAATTTATGGAAGAATAATATATGGATTATTAGTTTTCTAGTATTTTTCCCTCCTTACCCATAGGTTACCCTTCTTAAATTCCAAAAAAGATGAACCCTTTGTGCTACTTAGTTTTAAGGGAAGTTTGTGTTAACAGTCAAAAAGCAAAAGTTGTTTGCAGATTACTTGCATTCTTTAGTTTCAGAGTCTGAAGGTAAGAAGTTACTTGTCTTTGACAACAACGAAAGAGAGAGAGAGAAGCTATTTCCCCAGGCCTAGAAAGAGAACACAGATCTAGGGTTCTATGAAGAGTGTGTTCCTTAACCAACTCCCCGAGGGAGTGCCAGGTCTCAGTTAATAGCTACATGATGTACTGAAACGCAAATTTCAGTGACAGCTAGGAAGGAATGAACATTACAAAATTTCCTCTGTTTACTAGGTAACACAGAAGCCGCCTAGATTCTGGTGTGATTCTAGGGAGAGAAAGTATAAAAATAACTAAGATTCTGTTTCTTGCCAATTTCACTGGATGGTAGCTCACAGTTGGATTTCCTAGCACTATTTGGCAGTCCAGTAAAGGAGAATTGTTAATCCCAGTAAAGGCGAATTGATTAAGCCTTCTGTTTATAAATACTACTACCCTATTTTTCAGAGGACTTTTGTATGTAACTTGAGAAGGAGTCAGGTACACATATTCTGCCCCAGGATAACTTTAGCCTCATATATACTGATACATTAAAACATACTTTAGCTCATATTTCTTTATCAAGCTTGAAAAGTGTTGTTTAGCTTTTCCTTAGGTTCCAGCATCATAAAAAGGATGAATTTAATAAAAAAAATTAGCTTTAGGAAACTTAGTAAAAATGCTATGACTATGTCAATTTATAGTTAAATTTTAAATTTGCAAAACTTACCAATTCTTATAAGCTAGTTTCTTTCAGGTCTCAATTCTGTATGTAATAAACCATTGCATTACTTTATATTTGTTGGTATTATAAAAAAATTATCCAAGACCTTGGAAATAAAGTAAATAGTAAGTGATATATCTTCTTAATATCATAAAGTGATGAAGTTTACCCAGTGATTATCTAGTGAATATACTTAGATTCACTGTTTACTAGTGATTAAAAGATCCAGATTTAGTAAAGTTACATGAACTTGTAGATTTCTACCCAGTAGAATTGATAACCCCAGAAGTTATGGTTTATTGCCCTGTATGCAACCCACAAATCTTATCCTAACGTTTCTTTATTAAATCACATACATAGATATAGAATATAGATACAGACATAATCACAGATACACAGATTGGGCATCCAAGATCCAAGATCTGAAATAATAAATGTTCCAAAATCTGAAACTTTTTGAGTACCAGCATGACATTGAAAGGAAATGCTCATTGGAGCAAAAATCCAGATTTTTGGGTTTGGGATGCTTAACTTGTAAGCATGTATAATACAAATATTTAAAACTCCAAAAAAATCTGAAATCTAAAACACTCTGGTTCCATGCGTTTCAGACAGGGGATACTCAACCTGCATATAAATAGATACAGATATAAAGATACAGGTTCTTAGTTGCTCTTTGTAACAGTTTTAACATCTTACTGGTTCTTTTTAAGTTGATGTGTTCATTTCATATTTGTATGAAAGTCATAATTTTATGTTTCTGAAAATTATATTTTAAAACTGATAATAAAGTCAGTTGCTTTACCTTTAAGCCTTCTGGTCCTGGTTCACCTGCATACCCCTTTTGACCTGGTTTTCCCTAGAACAGAACAGAATGAAAGAAGAAAGTATATATGTTTAGTCATTCTCATTTTTGAAAGTTTCCTAAGATATATGAAATTTAGACTATTCTTATAAAATTAAACACTTTAACATTATTTGATAAATGTATTTCATCATATTCATTTGCCATTCATTCTACAAATATCCAACTGTCTACTGCGTGCCATGAACAGTTCTAGATGCAGAGGATCGAGGACTGCATTAAACATACCTGCCCTCATACAGCTTATATTTTAGTGAGAATAACGTTTTAAAAAATTAGTAAAATATTAGTATGTTAGGTAGTGGTAATATGAAAGGCAACAAATCAAGCAAGGAAGGGATATATAAACTGTTGTGGGAGTTTTATTGAAAGTGTTCATAAGATTCCAGGAAAGAAGACCTCACCAAAAAGTTGTTTGCAGATTACTTGTATTCTTACTTTAGTTTTCAGAGAGTCTAAAGGTAAGAAGTGACTTGTCTTTGATGACAATGAGAGAGAGAGAGAGAGTGAAGCTATTTCCCCAGGCCTAGGGAGAGAAGAGAGATCCCAGGGTTCTGTGAAGAGTGTGACCCTTGACCCTCAACCAACTTCCCTAGCGAGTGCCATTCCCTGGGGGAGTTGGCAGTTTGGTGGCATTTGAATAAAGACCTAAAGAAAGGGACAAGTTATATGGATATCTGAAGGAAAAGTATTCCAGGCCGAGGAAAAGGGCATGTGCACAGGCACTACAGCTAAAATGTGTGTAGTATGCTGGAGAAACCAGGAGAAGCTGAAGAATTGAGAGGAGAAGACCAGTAAAGTGATGAAGTCAAAGAAGGAAATGGGGAATGAGAAGTCAGGTCACATAGGGCCTTGTAGGTTGCAGTTAGGACTTTGACTTTTATCTGAGTGAGACAGGAAGCCTTAGACAAGGTTTAAGGAGAAAACTGATAAGATCTAAGTTTTAACAGGATCACTTTGATTCCAGGGTAGAAGAAGAGAGTCCGAGTAAGAGTCTAGTACAATAATCCAAGTGAGAGATGGTGGGGTGTGAATCAGGGTGGTAGCAGAATGGCAAGATTCTGGATATAATATGAAGGTAGAGCTTCCAGGAACTGCTGGCGGGTCATGTGTGAAATGTGGGAGAAAGAGAAGAGTCAAAAATGAATCTCAGGATTTTAATGTAAGAGTAGCAGACCAAATGAAATGAAGAAGACTGAAAACAGGTTTGGAGGGTAAATAAGAAGCTAAGTTTTGGACATTTTAGTTTGATATGCTTGTTAGACATCTAAATAACTTGTGGTAGTTATTTATACAAGTTCAGAATTTAACAGGTAGAAAGATCTGATAAGAAGAAATAATCTTGGAAACCACCAGCATTTTGATGGTATTTAAAGCCCTAGGCTGGATGACCTCATTTAGCCAGTGAGTATAGATAGAAATGAGAAATCCACAGGCCAAGCTTTGGGGTATTCCAAAACTTAGAATTTGAAGAAATTAGAAAAAAATTTAATTCGTGCCAGAAAGTTAGGAGGAAAATCATGGAAGTAAAGAAATTGTTTCTAGGAGGAGAGAGTGATCTTGTCAAATTCTGAAGAATAGAAGTATTGAGTAATAAGAGGACTCTGAGGATTGAGAAATGACAATTGGATCCAGCAATACAGAAACCACTGATCATATTGATCAGAGTATTTGTATTGTAGTGGTGGGAACAAATGTGGTTTAAGCAGATAGAGGGAAGAGAAAAACTGAAAGAGCACATATAGACAACACTTTTGAGGAGTTTTACTGAAAAGGGAAAGATAAAAATAGGGTAACACCTGGAAGGCAAACTGAGACCAAAAAAGTTTTGTTTTTGTTTTTAAGCTGGAAGAATAGCAGCAGCTTTATATGCTGATAGGAATGATTTCGTGTAGAGAAGAGAAAATATAGCAGAGACAGAGAGAACTGTTGGACCAATTATCTTGAGTAGTCAAGAGGACAGAGTATGCAGTAAACAACTGGAAGTTTTCCTTAGCTTGAAAAATGGCCTGCTCATCAACAACAACAGGAAAGAAAGCAGAGTATAGATAGAAGAAGGTGGGTACATGCAATGGCAGAAAACTGTAAGTTCTCTTCTGGTTACTTCAATCTTCTCAGGGAAGTAAGATGCCAGGCAAAGGCTAAGAATAAGGATGAGAGAGAACTGAACGGAGTTTGAAGAAACAAAGTATAAAGTAATAACTTAGAAAAGCAAGAGAATAAATAGGTTTGAAGACAGAATTCAGAATGTAATCAAAGGAATAATTATAATGTTTTAAGCAAGATGAGGAATTTGTGATCATAAAGGAGACAAGACACAATGGAAAAGCAGCAGAATCAATGCATTGGCATTCCTATTGGGTTTATTAGATTGGACAATAAGAGAGAATGTATTAGAAAGATGGTGGTTGGGAAATGAGAAGTTTAAAATTGAAAATGAGAGGTTGCTATCACTGGTAATGACAAAGTAAAGGGTATGACTGTAGCAGAGAGTAGCTGAAAAGAATAGAGGATAAGATCAGTAGGGGAGAGCAAGTCCACAGATGAGGTGGCAGGGTATGGTTTCGGGATGAAACTGGTCCACCTCAGAATATCATCAGACATTAGATTCTCATAAAGATCACACAACCTAGATCCCTTGCTTGCACAGTTCACAACAGGGTTTCTGCTCCTATGAGAATCTAATGCTGCTGCTCATCTGACAGGAGGTGAAGCTCAGGCAGTTAGATGGTCAATACTGAGTGTCAACTTGATTGGATTGAAGGATACGAAGTATTGATTCTGAGTGTGTCTGTGAGGGTGTTGCCAAAAGAGATTAACATTTGAGTCAGTGAGCTGGGGAAGGCAGATCCACCCTTAATCTGGTAGGCACAATCTAATAAACTGCCAGCAAATATAAAGCAGGCAGAAACATGTGAAAAGGCGAGACTGCCCTAGCCTCCCAGCCTGCATCTTTCTCCCATGCTGGATGTTTCTCTGCCTTCCATCATTGGACTCCAAGTTCTTTAGTTTTGGGACTCAGACTGGTCCTCCTTGGTCCTCAGCTTGCAGACAGCCTATTGTGGGACCTTGTGATTGTGTAAGTTAATACTTAATAAACTCCCCTTTATATATATCCTATTAGTTCTGTCCCTCTAGAGAACCTTGACTAATACAAGTGGTAATGCTCATGCCCAGTCCATGGCCTGGGGGTTGGGGACCCCTGCTATATTGGATTTTATTGCTGTTGTCAATTAAGACATGCTCATATTTTTTCTTCTTAAAGTGGAACAGAACAACCCTCTGGCTCACATTCTGTTTTTACTACACATAAAAGATTTAGCCACTTACAACTGTATTTAAGACTTCTAGTCTTATTAGACTAGAAGTCAAAACATTCTAATTTTTGCTTTTGCCTGCTCGAAATTATCGAATAATTTCCTAACAAGCAAAAAGCAAAGCAAAGAACTGAAAACCATCCTATTATTATTAAAGATCAATTGTTCTCTAATTGAGTTAGACACACAGAACAAGAAATAGAGTTAAGAACCTGAATTATTAGATTTTTTCTATGATATTTACAAAACCATTTCTATTTTTATTTCCACTGCTTGGTAACAGCCTTAGTGTGACATTTCTTTTATCTTTAATAATACTATTTCAAGCACTGTGTAGGATATTAAGATACAGTTATACATATTGACATTATGGAAAGAATCTCACTGGAATCTGGTATCAGCACATTTTCAAAGTCTTTGGAATCAGGCGATTCAGAGTATCAGTAACAGAATCATAACTTCTTGTCCTACTTAAATTCTATCATATTGTATTGATTTTGATTTGATTGTGTTATACTTGAACATGTAATATTAAAACCTTATTTTCAAATCTAAAAACAGGAATGATATCTTGCAGAGTTGTTTTCAGGATTAAAGATGATTCATATACTTATAGCAATATTAGGCCCCAAATTGATATTCAACGAATAGCAACAACAGTAATTATTAATATTAAGACTGTGTAGACCAGAGGTGAATATGGTTCTCCTCTTCTCAATGGAAGTAAATTTTGAATAAGATCAATTTTATTGGGCTCAAATTCCAGTTTTTCTGTTATATAATTCTCAAAAAAAAAAAAATAAAATGAAAACTCTTTTTTACCCCCAATGGGATAGTAGCAATATATGTGCTAGTAAGGTAAAAATGTGAAAGAAATAATTACAGTCTTTTTAAATGTAAAAGCATTTTAAGAACCAGTACTTTGGCCAGATATGGTGGCTCACTCCTGTAATTCCAGCACTTTGAGAGGCCAGGTGGGCGGATCACCTGAGGCCAGGAGTACAAAACCAGCCTTGCCAACATGGTGAAACCCCATCTCTACTAAAAATACAAAACTTAGCAGGGTATGGTGGCACACGCCTGTAATCCTAGCTACTCGAGAGGCTGAGGCAGGAGATTTGCTTGAACCCAGGAGGTGGAGGTTGCAGTGAGTCGAGATCACGCCACTACACTCCAGCTTGGATGACAGAGTGAGACTCCATCTCAAAAAAAAAGAAGAAGAAGAACCAGTACTTTATGATGTTGTCAAGAAAAGAAATGAGATGTATTTCATATGAGTCTAATGCCTCTTAAAATAAATGTAACACATATAACTTAATTATTTCATAGGGTAAACTTTGGTCATATATACCAAAAGTTTTTAAATAATTCATTTATAGAACTTGAAAACAATTCACATATTACCCATGGTATTATCTGACAAAAACATTGGCAGAAAATACATCTTATTAGCCTTCCATAATTTTACTCACACATTTAGAAAACAGGAAATCTCAGAATATTACTAAAATGGCTAAAGTATTTAGCTTCCTATTACGTTTCAAGAAATTTATAAACAATTTGCACAAATTACTAAGTCTATAGACCACCAAAATAGCAAGTAACTACATAGTAGGCATAACATCATTATAACATCATTCAAACTATCTTTGAGACTTCCAGTTATTGGCCTATTTTATTTTGGGGCATTTTATGACTATAGTTTGTTTTCATTTTTGTCCTTCACTATAATGTAAAATGTTATGATGTTAAAAACATTTATAGAACAGCTATTTTCAAGAAAACCACTTATGGAAAATTATACGATACCTACTTGTGGCCCCAGTTCCCCAAAGGGTCCAATTGGTCCTTCTTCTCCCTTAAAAACAAAAATCAGAACATATTATGGCCTAAAATGGGTATTTAAAAATGTAAACTCTTATTTTCTCTATTTATTCTAAAATGTGAGGCTCATTCTGAGATGTGATGAAAATAACGCTGTTATTTTCTTGTACTTTGAACTCCATCACCTCACAACACTTTAGTTTTTTGTGTGAACCTGGTGCATTCTTGTAAGGACCAAAAACTATATGGGTGGATAGAGACTGAAGATGAATATAGAAAAAAATTAAAAGTTTTTATTCATAATTCTCTAAGAAAAAAAAGCAGTAAGTGTTTTTACTACATTTACAGATATATTTACTAAATATACTGATTTACCTTTAAAAAATAGTTGATTGCTTTCTGAATAATACATACAGACCTCCCTAGAATCATATAGTATATATTATTTATTTGGTAAACATTTTGCTCAATTCACAATTCAAGTAAAATATAATTTATTGGTTCAAAAATATTAAGTAGTCACAAATAGTAAATATAAATTCTAGTATATATGAGTGAGATTCTGGGTTCAGATTCTTCAGACATTCCACTGGATACCGCTAACATAAATCATTTAATGAATTCAGAACACTGTAAAATGATTCTAAATTCTATTCCATAACTGACAAAATAAAGTGTCAACTTGAAGGCTGGGAATAGTGGCTCATGCCTGTAGTCCCAGCACTCTGTTTAGGTGGGAGGACTGCTTGAGGCCAGAAGTAGGCCAACCTGGCTAAATAGCAAAACTGTGTCTTTACAAAAAATACAAAAATTAGCCAGGCTAATGGTGGTGCACCTGTACTCCCAGCTACTTGGAAGGTTGAGGTAGGAGGATTGCTGGAGCCCAGGAGGTCGAGGCTGCAGTGAGCCAAGACTGCACCACTGCACTCCATCCTGGGAAAGAGAGCGAGACTCTGTCTAAATAAATAAATAAAATGGTAACTGGAAATCTGATAGTGTTTAAACAAAAACTGAAGGCCCACAATAAATAAAAAGGGAAACTTTTAACTAAAAACCTTGCTGAAGCTGACTGGATATCACTTCTTCCATACCTGAGTTCCTTTGAGACCAGGAGGTCCAGGAAGCCCTCTATTTCCGAGGAGTCCCTATAAAAGCAATATAAACGCACACAATAGAAATTTTAGATCAACTGACATTTTGATAAATCAGCATTAATGTGGAGATGGACAATACTCTTTGAAACCATTCATTTCCCATTAAGAAGTTCTCAAAATGGGTGGCAATATAGACAAGCAGAAAACAACAAAGCATCCAAAAACATAGGATAAACTTATTTTTAAACAGTAAGTTAATATTCAAATAATCTGCTCAGTATTTTATTCTTCAACCTCCAGACACCTTTTCAGAAAAAGTATTTCTAAAATGGAAGCAATGGGGCCAATTGTTAAACTGATAAGAGTAAAATAAACAGAGTGTTCACAAAGTCTGAAAACAGATGGAAGAAACAAATAGTGTTTTAATACCTATTAAGAGCTCTGCAGAGTCTGGAACTCATTATTTGTTAGTTGAAGAATGCATTAGTTCTTCATTACTCATTAGTTGAAGAATATTCTTCAACTTATTTCCCTTTTTGCTACAAGATGACAAAAAGAGAAGAGGAATTTGCAGAAGAAAGGAGTGTGAATTTGACTAGAAATTTCAAGACTAAAAAAGTATTTTGTTAAACAAAATATCTGTTGTTAAAAATCAATTGCTCTCTGAATGAAAACCCTTTCAAAGTAACTATTTTTAAAAAGTCTTAAATCAGAAAACAATATACGTCTATTCAACATGGCCACATTTTCTTAATAAGTTCTGTTCTCCTAACGACACAAGATGCCAGCAAAGTTCTAAGTCTATTTTTAGAATTATAGTTTGAATGATTGCTTTTAGTCATTTTATAATCATTAAGAAGTTTTATCTAATTTTTAACTGTACTTACATAATTTTTAAATAACTACACCAAAGAGCAAATCTATTAGGTGACTTTGATCTTGTTCTGAAATGCAGCAGAGTGACAAACTACATGGGAATCTTTCCTTCATGTTATATTTTACTCTATACTTGCTGTACTTTAACACAATAAAAACAAAACTCTCTGTCAGTTTAAAAGTCTATAATATAGTATTGTAAGCTTATTACATAAATAGTACCATTCAAGAAACTGTATTACTTTAGGCAATAACCTAACCTTTTAATTCAGCTTTCTCATTTTTAAAAGTAAGATATGGATTAGATTATGGAAATGGGCATATTGTGCCTCATGCCAGTCCAATATATGTTAATCCTTTTACAGGCAAAAGCACCCTAATTTTCCTTAAGGAAAAACTCTCTTCACTCTTCGTGCATGTTGTTTGAGGGGAGGTGACTCCACCTCCGACTGTAACTGTGAACATGTGACAGAGATCTAAGTCGGTCGGTGTATTGTACATCCCCAGAAAAAATGACTGGTCCAAGGAATGAGTAAGGGACCCAACTCAGCCCAACTGAAGCACATTTCAAACTTCAGTGGCACTGCTGGGAATAGCATTAAAAATGAGGTAAAACTGAAGAGTGGGAAACCATCCAGGGGACAGCCTGAGAATGAAATCAATGAATCAACAAATGGAGAGAGTTGGAGTGACTGGGCTCTTCTGATATTGTTTAGGGTCCTGAATTCAGCTGTGATTGAATCCCTGAACTTTTCATGTATTTATGTAAGCCTGTTTAAGCCAGGTTTCCACCACTTACAACTGAAATAATCCTGATTTGATACAATGATTTCAAACTGCCTTCAATATCTGAAACTGCTCTTTTAGAATTCAAAGTGAAAGATTTTAAGTGTCTACACTGACTGGAGGTACAGAATTAGAATGTTGTCATATTTGAATTCTACCACCTGTCAGCTAGTTTAATCACTTAATTCATCTGTTTGTTCATTTTTCATCTGACATTTTATTAATTTTCTACTATGTATAATGCTCAATTAACAGCACAATATTAGTCCCTAAGTATACAATTATCAGTAAGACAGAGTCCCTGTTTCCAATGAATTCATCATTTATTATGGGAGATGGTCCTTTAAAATAAAACTTACTACTCTGAGAGTTGTAATAGAAGTAGAGGTATATGCAAAGTATAAATAAGAATTTAGAAAAAGGAGCAAAATCCTTTCTGGGAGGATTAGAATATTTTTAATATATGAAAATGATTTTGTATTGAGTTATAATAGGCTAATAAAAACTTGTAGATAAAAATAAGCATACAATAAAAAATTATAAACAACTTCTGGGGCTCAAAAGGCTCTAAGAACATACAATATTAAGATTAGGGTGTGCATGAAAAAAACAGGCTCAGCTCCATATCCAGAGTGTAACCTGCAGAGGACTGACTGGTTAAAGGAAATGAGGTCCCCCCTAACTTTCTCATTGAAACTATTTACTCGGGATGGAACCACTTATCCAGGACCAGAAATAATCCTTTCAGTGAAGCAGGCAAATCTAGGCTTCTTTTTCTCTCTTCTTTCAAAACCAAAATTATAATCTTAAAGGAAAAATGAAAGTTGGGTTAAAAGAAAAAAAATCTAGTTATATGCCATTTACAAGAAACACACCTAAAATAGAAAATATGCAAGGCATTTACCAGCCCAAAAGAGCTGATGTAATTACATTATTATTAGATCTAGCAGACTTGAAGGTAAACTACATTATTTAAGTGTGTAACTAAATAATGATTAAATGTTATATTCATCAAGAAGAGATAAAAAGCATAAATTTTTGTGCATCTAATAACATGAATTCCAAGTATAAAAAGTGAAAATTGATGAATATGTAAATAGAGTTGGGCAAATCCACTATTAGAGAGAGAAATTTCAAGACACTTTTCTCCATAAGTCAAGCAGATAAAGACCACAAGAATAGAGAAAACTTAAATACTAATATTAACAAACTTGATCTAATGGTCATCTATAGAATACTGAATCCTTAAATGGGAATTTACATAGTTTACAGGTGCACCTGGAGCATTTGTGCAAACCAACCACAAGAAAGACCATAAGTGTTTATCAGCAGCAGTATCAATTTAAAAATTACAGTATATCTATATAGTGGGTTATACTATACAATGTAAATTAAAAATGAACCTATAATTATATGTATCAACCTGGATTAAGATGAAAAGACAAAATTGAATGGAAGAAGAAAGTCACTGAAGAATATGTATAGTAGAATTCCATTTACATGAATTTACAAAACACTCAAAGCACCAGATATTGTAGGAGTATATACAGATGGTAAAAGCATGGCCAAAACAAAAGAATATTTACCTCTAAATGCAGAGATGGAGGAGGTAGACACAATTAGAGAGAGACACACAAGGGGCTTCCAACTTTCTGTTTAATATCCTTTATACGGTTTGTTTTATCACCATTGTTTAAGCTGTGCACATATGTTTCATATTTATCATTTGTTAAATACAAATTTTAAAAAAGTTAAACTGTGCAGAACTGGAAGTAGAGTACAGATCTGAATTCCAGTTCTGCAGTTTACTAGAGATGTAAACTATTTCTTAATCTGTAGAATCATGTTACCATCAGCATTGTAAGGTTGCTGTAGGAATAAACAAAATGATACCTAGAATATAACAGGAACTTAATACCAGTTTCCTTTCTCCTTTTATATCAGACATTAATTAGTATACATTTCTCAAAGGTAGATATACAAATGGCCAATAAATAAATGAAAAAATGTTCAACATCGCTAGTCATCAGGGAAATGCAAATCAAAACCAGAATGAGATATCATCTCATTAGAATGATCACTATTAAAAAGACAGAAAATAACAAATACTTGTGAGAATGCAGAGAAAGGATGATGTATTGGTGGGAATGTAAATCAATACAGCTAATATGACAAAAAGCAAGGAGTTGCCTCAAAAAATAAAAATAGAACTATCATATGATTTAGCAATCCCACTGCTGAGTATATATCCCAAAGAAAGAAAGTCAGTATATCAGAGACAGAATCTGCATTCTCATGTTTATTGCAGTGCTACTCACAATAGCCAAGATACAGAATCAACCTAAGTATCCACCAACAGATGACTGGATAAAGAAAATGTAGTATATTATACACAATGGAATATTATTCCACCATAAGAAGAATGAAATCCTATATTTGCAACAACAAGGATAGAATGAGAGGATATTATATTAAGTGAAATAAGCCAGACACAGAAAGACAAATGTTGCATGTTCCAACTCATATGTGGAAGCTAAAAATATTGATTTCATGGAGATAGAGAATAAATTGAATGGTGGTTAACAGAGGCTGGGAATGGTAGTAGGGAAGGGACTTCCACTTGGACAGACAGAACAGTGTGTGGAGACTCACATCACGGACTTTTGTTCTAAGAACCACTACAGTAAATTCCCAGGAAAACGTAAGGATTTCATAGATCCTTTGACAGAAGTGGCACACTGCTACAAATTCTGTGAGGCAGGCAAAAAAACCGTGAGTTCCCAAAGTGTGTGAGGGGAAACACCTGCCTCCGGAAACACATCCCCATTGGGGACCCTGAAAATCCGGATTACAGGAGAAGGATTTAACCTTACCTAGAGCTGAAACCGATTTAGCATGAAATACAAAAGTAGAAGCAGCAGCAGGAGGAGCACTGTAGGCGCTCCCATTCTCCAGGTCAAGCCAAGGGAAGCCATCCCTGACTATATCTCACTAGGGCCCTCAGGGAAGGCAGCCAGCAGAATCTGGGAGGGATCACAGGCTGAAAAAAGATTCCAACTGAACTTTGTTTGTTTTATTTTATTTATTATTATCATACTTTAAGTTCTAGGGTACATGTGCATAATGTGCAGGTTTGTTGCATATGTATACTTGTGCCATGTTGGTGTGCTGCACCCATCAACTCGTCAGCACCCATCAACTCGTCATTTACATCAGGTATAACTCCCAATGCAATCCCTCCCCCTGCCCCCCTCCCCATGATAGGCCCCGGTATGTGATGTTCCAACTGAACTTTATAATAATTTTGACTGAAGCAGGCTCTCTTGAGCAGAATCTGGGGGTGAACGGGAACTGTTGCAGAGAGTAGCGCAGGAGCCAAGGCCAACAGT